TAACAATAATAATAATAACAATAATTATAATAAAGGAAGATACCGGGATTCATGTTATTTATTGCATGTCTGTTCTGGAGTTTATGATCCTGTTATCTAATCTAAAGTATATTTATATGCTCAGTCTTCCTCTAACTACCTACCTCTTCCTTAATAATGTTATCTTCATCCTTCCTCCCTTCTCCTTCCTCGCTCCTCCTTCCCATGTTTCTCTTCTATCTTCTTTCCTTCATCTTTAACCTTTTCTCTCCTTCCCTTTCTGTATTTCCCCGCCTTCACCACTGATCCAGTTCAATATGTCAGTTGACCTTTTCCGGACACTACCCTGAGGTTAGATCACCTTAGGTCAGCCATTTCAAACATCTAGTTTCTTTTCATGGGCAAATGTTCGTTCGTTTCCCCGGGATGTACCAAACTTTATCATTTAATGTCATATCCCCAGCGAGAAAAGTTTATTTATTATATTCTAACAAAAAATATATGAAAATAAATACATAAAAGGTATGGTTAGTGAGGCTTCGGTACCATCCCCGTCAGCTCCTCCTCCATGTACTACTTAGGAAGGCTCGTCAACTCAGTAAGAATGACCCAGCTGAAGTACCACAAAGGACGCCTGCACTTGGAGAGATCCTGCACGAATTCTTGGCCCCGCCACCAGAGACTGACCCTAGGCATCACCAGGGTCACCAGAGTCGAGGTAGGTATTATGGCCTTCTATCCTGGCCACCACGTCCTCAATGGCCATTCATGAAGGAGGCGCCGCCGGGTAGGATGCCAGGGGCCTCACTCAACCAAGGCAACGATTTATTTGTCTATATGTATTTTGTTTTTGATGTTCTAATTCTGATTTTATTTTTATGTGGCTATGAAACCTCACGAGACAACAACAACAATACTACTACTACTACTACTACTACTACTACTACTACTACTACTACTACTACTACTACTACTACTACTACTACTACGACTACTACTACTACTACTAATAATAATAATAATAATAATAATAATAATAATAATAATAATAATAATAATAATAATAATAATAATAATAATAATAATAATAATAATAATAATAATAATAATAATAATAATAATAATAATAACAGACGGTCATAACCAAAAGAAAAAATAAACACAACTGACAAGAATCGAAAAGTAAAATGAAAAGCTGGGAAGTTGGAAACAGTCACCCTAAGACTGTGTTCCTGTACCAAGGCCTCACTAAAGCGACGTGTAAATGGAACAGAAATCCAGTACAGGAGTCTAAGATACCAGAGTAACACACACACACACACACACACACACACACACAGACACACACACACACACACACACACACACACACACACACACACACACACACACACACACACACATATGATGATTTCCCATAAAGTTTTTCTAATCACATGGTCTCCACTAAAACCTTCTAACTATCTAATACTCTGTTCCTCATACATTCTACTTATATTCAACCCTCTAATACCCCCTGATACCTAATCTTCACCTGAGCCTCCCTCCATCCCTTCCCTCTACCCCTCCAAATACTCACCTCCCACCTAATCCTCACTCCCACCTAATCCTCACTCCCACCTAATCCTCACTGCTATCTAATCCTCACTGCCACCTAATCCCCCACCTAACCTCACTCCCACCTAATCCTCACCCCACCTAATCCTCACTCCCACCTAATCCTCACTGCTATCTAATCCTCACCTCCCACCTAATCCTCACTCCCACCTAATCCTCACTGCTATCTAATCCTCACTGCCACCTAATCCTCACTCCCACCTAATCCTCACTCCCACCTAATCCTCACTGCTATCTAATCCTCACTGCCACCTAATCCTCACTCCCACCTAATCCTCACTCCCACCTAATCCTCACTCCCACCTAATCCTCACTCCCACCTAATCCCCAATGTCACCAGTTAAATCCAGTGTCAGCGCTCAGCCAATCACGCTAGTCGACATTCCCGTTACATCACTTGAGTTTTGAATCAACAGGAGCTTATTCACTTAAGCCTATCTCATCCTGGCCCGCTTGGTTTCCTTCTCATTCTCATTCTACCCATTCACCCCACTCAAGACCTCTCCTTCTCATATTGACTCCACTCACTAACATTCAGCATCCCACTCACCAACCTCACCATCCCATTTACTTCAAAGTCTATACACTCATTTTACCCAAGTCACCCCCACTCAGTTATTATTCCTCTCTTCCCACTCAACCCAGTATTCACCTCACTCAACTTTTCAATCATTCAACCGTTGAAAGGATTTTACTCTGTCTACCCAGATCCCATTCACTCCAACCAAGATCCCACTCACTCCATTCAAGATCCCACTCACTCCATTCAAGACCCCACTTACTCCATTCAAGACCCCACTTACTCCATTCAAGACCCCACTCACTCCATTTAATACTCCACTCACTCCATTTAATACCCCACTCACTCCATTCAAGACCCCACCCTTCTCATTAAATGTCTCACTCTTCTCACTCAGGACCTTTGCTCACCCCACACCTAAGCCCACTCATCCCACTCGCCACCTCTCCTCCGTGCCCTGACACTCGCCCATTCAAGCTGTCTAAAATTTTCAGTATCATAAGTAGGATTAATTTTGGGGGGTAATGTTTGAGAAGTGGTCACTGTTGGCTCACTCGTATCACCTGCATCAATAGGTAATGTTTTGTCAATACCACTTCTGTATTTATTCTTTGTCTTCTCTTGTATGTTTTTCTTTCGTTCATTTTTCCTCCTTCAAAGACGCTTCTATTGTCAATATTTATAAGAACAAGGGAGAACGGTCAGACTGTGGCAACTACCGTGGGATCTCGCTGCTCGCCATAGCTAGCAAGATAATCGCCCGAGTCCTCCTAAACAGACTCCTTCCTGAGGCGGAAAACTTCCTCCCAGAATCTTAATGTGGTTTTAGACCATCACGTGGCACCACTGACATGATCTTTGCTGCCCGCCAAACACAACAAAAGTGCAGAGAACAGCATCTTGACCTGTACATGGCTTTCATCTACCTAACGAAGCCCTTTGACTCGGTCAATAGGGAAGCCCTCTGGTGCACCCTCAGCCGTTTTGGCTACCCACCAAAATTTATCGCTATTGTGAGGCAACTCCACGATGGCATGAACGGCAGTGTCTTTTTCAACGCACCCAGTCATAGTTCTTCCAGATCCAAACAGGGGTTAAACAAGGGTGTGTACCGGCACCAACTCTCTTTTCCATCTTCTTGGCTGCCTTCCTTACTCGTGCCAGTGCCAATTTAACCAACGGGGTGAACATCGAGTACCGGGTGAAGGATCTTTTCAACATAAGACGACTCCAGGCAAGAACAAAGGTGTCGGCAGCTTCCATTACTGAACTTCAGTATGCAGACGACCTCACCCTTGTTGCTAACACTAAACACGACCTACAGGAGATTCTAAACACCTACTCAGACGCGTATGCACACTTCGGCCTTGAGGTGAATGTAGGTGAGACTCAGATTCTCTTTCAACCTGCCCTGGTTCAGACAAACCTCCACCATCCATCCAGCTTAACGGCACTACCCTCTCTAATGTTGCTCACTTTCGGTATCTCGGCTCCACACCAGTCCACCACCGCAGATATCGATGCAGAGATTCAGCATCGGATCAGATGTGCATCTCAAGCCTTTGGCAGACTCCGAAATCGTGTCTTCAGCTGTAGGGAGCTGAAATTATCTATAAAACTGCATGTATATCGAGCAGTGGTCCTCCCCACCCTGCTATATGGCAGTGAGACATGGGTCATATACAGGAGGCTCCACAAGGCACTTGAAAACTTTCACCAACGTAGTCTACGTTTCATCCTCTGAGTTCGCTGGGAAGACAAGAGAACAAATGCCAGTATTCTTGCTGACACCAACTGTAGGAGCATCGAGGTTACCATTATCCATAAACAACTACGTTTGACTGGCCGTGTTACCCGCATGGACGACAATAGACTGCCATAGCAGTTACTTTACAGTCACATAACGAATAATAAACGTAACGCCGGCGGGCAATTGAAAAGGTATAAGGATAGTCTGAAGACAAACCTGAAAAAGTGCCATATCAACCCCCTCACCTGGAAGTAGATTACTCGACATCGTAACGCTTGGAGGAGCACCACACGAGAAGGTGTCAATACTTTCGAGTTCGCCCGACTGCAAACTGAGGCAGACAAGCCCCAACGCCGGAAAGACGCTGCTACCGCTCCTCACGCAGTAGATGGAGCCCTCCACATGTGCAACGAATGTGGACGACCCTGCGGGTCCCGTATCGGCCTCTTTTGTCACCTCAAAACTCACCACCCTAGGTGACATCCCTAATAACTCATATCATTGTATCATCCCTGGATGATCGTCATACTCGATTCCGAGTGACAGCAAAGTAGTAGTAGTAGTGTGTGTGTGTGTGTGTGTGTAAAAGTAGCGTAGTGATGGTTTGGGTGGACGATGCTAATTGCTGTGGGTGGTATGACGATGAGCGAATGAATGTGATGTGGATGAAATGGATGATGTGTAGACATGATCAACAGTGTGTGTGGGGTGGGTTGGTTGGAGTGGGGTGGAGTAAGCTGCGTATGGGTGGGTGGATTAGGCGGATTGGGTGGAGTGCATTCATCATCATCATCATTAGTGTGGGGACCTAGGAGGAAGGGAAGACGGGGGGAGGAAGGGAAGAAGGAGTTGGGGACCTAGGAGGAAGGGAAGACGGGGAGGACATGGAGTTTAGAGGAAGGGAGGGAGGAGGGGTAAAGGAGAGGTAGGGAGGGGGAGGGGAAGGAGGAGGGGGAAGGAGGAGGAAGGAAGGAAGGAAGGGGAGGGAGGGGGGAGGAGGGAGGAGGGAGTGAGGGGCATGGAGAGGTAGGGAGTGGGGAATAGGAAGGAAGGAAGGAAGGAAGGAAGGAAGGAAGGAAGGAAGGAAGGGTGGAAGAGGGAGGAGACTATGGTGAGGGAGATCAAAATACTTACGGAGGACGGAGAGGGTGATGGAGGCGGTGAGGGTGTGTTGATCCTTGGTGAGAGCTGGGTGACGGGCCTGACAGGAGAACACCTTCCCGTCGTCGTCAGCCGTCGCCGTGACTACCAACTGACTCCTCCCGCTCCACCTTCTGGCCATATGCGACGCCTCCACCCGGTCCTCTTGAAGCTCTGCCAGGCGGGAGACGAGGAGATAATCAGAGACGTGGGAGATAATAAGAGACGTGGGAGATTTAAGAGAAAGAGGGCGAGGTTAAGAAAAGAGACGTTCAGTGAACCTTAAGAGAGATTTGGCCATGATTCTTTTATCTCTTACGCTATTTCTTCCTACTCTTTGTTCATATTATACCCCCCCCCCCCTGCCCTCCCCAGCCTCCTCAGTCCCCTCTCTCAGCCCAGCCCTCATACCCAGCCCTCAGACGTCATACGGCCCTCTCTCTCACCCTCATAATGCTCCCATATCCCAGCACACACACACACACACACACACACACACACACACACACACACACACACACACACACACACACACACACACACACACACACACACACAACGCCCCAGAAACTCCAGCATCAAGAAGAAAAACAAAATGAAGATGAAGAAACACAGGAAGCCACCGAACTGAGCGGGAGATGTCTTTTGTTTTGTTACTTAGTTCTGACTGTAGTCGTGTGGCGGCGCTTTCAAATTTTTACCTGAGGTCGTAACAACGTAATTAAGGCCACCGATAGTCGCTAAAAGTGTTGATGGAGTTTTGTTTTGTTTTATATTTTATTTTTATTTTTATTGACTTTGAGGCTCCCCAGGTGAAAGTGACTGATTGACGTACGTGATTGGTTGGTAGTGTAGTTGGTTATTACGTATGGTGATAATCTGATTGGCTGAAGAGTTACGTGAAAAGTAAATTGTTATTGATGGTACTCAAGGTGACAGACATATGTACGCTAATACGTTTTATATATATACTGACACATACACATATACACATACACACGTATACATGTACACTCACACAGGCGATGCAGAAACACACACACACACACACACACACACACACACACACACACACACACACAGGCACACACAGTAGTACTACATGACACCTGTTTTCATCACAGTACTAGACAACACAGTACTGAGAACACACAAGATGGGAGATAAATGAGAGGCAAGAAGATTAAGAGACAGAAACTGAGTGAGAGAGATATTCCAACGCCCAGGCAGAGAGAGACAGAGATAATGTGCGATACGAAGATCGAGAGAGATTGCGTGATTAAGAGAGATACAAGCTGCCAACGGTGCTAGAGAGAGAGAGAGAGCGAGAGAGAGAGAGACGTGCGTTCTCTTGCTGCAGCACAGGGAGTTATTGGCAATTTGAGATAAAGGAGATTATTGGAGACTTCGAAATGCAGGAGAAAAAGAAAAAGAGAGAGAGAGCGAGAGATAGAGAGAGAAAGAGGTCGAGAGAGAGAGAGAGAGAGAGAGAGAGAGAGAGAGAGAGAGAGAGAGAGAGAGAGAGAGAGAGAGAGAGAGAGAGAGAGAGAGAGAGAGAGAGAGAGAGAGAGAGAGAGAGAGAGAGAGAGTCGGAAGATGAGACAAAGAGAGACATATAGTGAGATAATATGAAAGATAGTGAGGTCTTGAAAGATCAATGGAATGATACCGAACTGGTGAGAGACAAAGAGTGATTATAAGAGATGGTGAGAAAGACTTATGAAATGATGAGAGAAATAGAGAGAAAAGAAGATAATGTGAAACAATGAGAGAGAGACAGAAAGATGATAAAAACAAAGAGAGAGAGAGAGAGATAATTAGATGGTGAGAAACAGAGTCAGACGATAAGAAACGAAGAAAGATGAGAAATATAGCGAGAAATTTGAGACGAAAAGAGTCAGATGGAGAGAGAGATAATGAGCTCATGAGATATAAAGAGAAGAGACAGACAGACAGGCAGACAGACAGACAGACAGACAGGCAGGCAGACAGACAGGCAGATTGACTAAGAGAGGAGAATAACGAGATAGAATCCGTTATCGCTCCCTATAAATGGTTACTACCGGAAAAGACCAAGAGGTGATGAAAGATTAAATCAAGAGATAAGAAAAGACACAAAGAGAGAAGGAGAAAGGATAATGGAGAGAGAGAAAACGAGGGAGGTAGTTGGACATGAGAGAGAGAGAGAGAGAGAGAGAGAGAGAGAGAGAGAGAGAGAGAGAGAGAGAGAGAGAGAGAGAGAGAGAGAGAGAGAGAGAGAGAGAGAGAGAGAGAGAGAACTAAAAAGATACGAGGAAACAAAGTGAGAGAGAGACAGAATAAGAAAGACAGAAAGGCAGAAAGATAAACAAAGAAAGACGACAACAGACGAGGGGAAGAAAGACAGAAAGAGAAAGAAAATAATAAAAGTGAGGGAAAGGAAACGTGGTAAATAATGATAAGAAAACAAGAGAGAGAGAGAGAAAGAGGGAGGTGCGTAGAGGAGGTGGTGTGGTCAGGTGTGTACAAGGAGAGGTGTGGTCAGGTGTGTACGGGGAGAGGTGTGACCAGGTGTGTACAGGGGGTGGTATGCATTGGGGTATGTACAGGGGGTGGGGGTGTGGCCAGGTGTACAGGGGGAGGTGTGGTCAGGTATGCATAGGAGGTGGTGTATTGTGTGTGCAGGGGGAGGGTCAGGTATGTATAGGAGGATGTGGTCAGGTGTGTATAACGAGAGGTGTGACCAGGTGTGTAGAGGGGGAGGTGGTCAGGTATGGCAGGAGGAGGCGGTCAGGTGTGTATAGGAGTGTGTGTGGTCAGGTATGCAGGAGGTGGTGTGGCCTGTGTGTACAGGAGGTGTGTGGCTGGGTGGTGTATAGGAGGAGGTGTGACTGTGTGTATAGGGGAGGTGCATGGGGTATGCATAGGAGGTGTGGCTGTGTGCAGGGGATGTGGCTGTGTATGTATAGGAGGAGGTGTGGCTAGGTGTGTGTAGGGAGAGATGTGACAGGTGTGTACAGGGAGAGGAGGACTAGGTGTGTAGATGGGAGGTGTGGCTGTGGGTATGTATAGGGAGGAGTGTGTGGCTAGGTATGTATAGGAGGAGTGTGTGGCTGTGTACAGGAGAGGGGAGAGACTCAGGTGTGTAGAGGGGAGGTGGGCTGATATGTATAGGAGGAGGTGGTCAGGTATGTATAGGAGGAGGTGGGTCAGGTGTACAGGGAAGAGGAGGACCAGTGTAGAGGGAGGCACAGGTATGTAGGGAGGAGTGTGTGGTCAGGCATGTATAGGAGGAGGTGTGGGTCAGGTGTGTATAAGGAGGTGCACAGGTATGTATAGGGAGGATGTGTGGTCAGGTGTGTACAAGGAGAGGTGGAGGGGTCAGGATTGTACAGGAGAGGGAGTGACCAGGTGTACAGGGGTGTGTGGTCAGACGCATGAGGGGTAAGTTTGGTCATGTGTGTGTACAGGAGGAAGTAAGGTCAGGTGTGTACAGGGGGAGGTGTGGTCAGGTGTGTGTATAAGAGGAGGTGTGGTCAGGTGTGTACAGGGAGAGGTGTGACCAGGTGTTTACAGGGAAGAGGTGTGGTCAGGTGTGCACAAGGGGAGGTGTGGTCAGGTATGCATAGGAGGAGGTGTGGTCAGATGTGTACAGGGTGGTGGTCATGTGTGCACAGGGGGAAGTGTGGTCATATGTGTACTTTTTCAGAGGTTTTCTAACTTAATTTAGTCTCCTAACTGAAGTGAATATCTTTAGTTAAGGTAGAAATTTCATTTAACCGTGATGCTCTTTTTTTGGATGTGTGTGTGTGTGTGTGTGTGTGTGTGTGTGTGTGTGTGTGTGTGTGTGTGTGTGTGTGTGTGTGTGTGTGTGTGTGTGTGTTTTATCTTCAGTGAACAAGTCAGCTACATTCTTATGCCATCAGTTAAAAGGTTTACTCACTGTAAGAACCTGAGAGAGGCTGGCCCCCTCTGGCTCGGGAAAGATGTAGGGAAGCACAGTTCGGGATTAGGTGACGTAAAAATATCAAGTGAGATTGACTCACTTTGGCTTGGCTGGAAGGGGTTTATCTAGGGGAGATAGAGCGGAAAATGGTGGAAGAGAGAGAGCTTGAGAGAAGGGAAAGGAGGAGAGAGAGAGAGAGAGAGAGAGAGAGAGAGAGAGAGAGAGAGAGAGAGAGAGAGAGAGAGAGAGAATGAGATAGTTCCTCGTCCTCCTACAAGTGGGTAATGACACAGATAAATAGATTCATTAAGAGGATTGTAATAGTTTTCAGGATAGAGATTAGTGATCAAGATTAATGAGATTACGTGGAAGATTAAATCCATATGTCTCACACTGCATACGTTATATTATATAGTATATATTAGAACTTATGTTGCATACACAATAGTTGCAATGGCTGACAAGTCTTGTATATATATTCGGAAGCCAGTATACACCGTGTAAGATGTACTGTGTTGTAGAGAGGTATAGTGGTAGGAGCAGCAGACACGGCCAGCAGACACGGCCAGGTGAACATAACTCTTCGAATACTTGATGTTGCTGGGGCGTGTTCACAGTCGCCTGGGACGGAGACAGTCTTTTGTTTTTTTTTATCGCTGAATCTTCCAATAATTTCTTTACATGGTGTATCGTCTTGTGCATGTGTGTGTTCTTTTTTAACTGCTATTACAGTACAATCACTAATGTTTACGGCGCCAGATCAAATTTTGGAGTAATTTAAAAAGTTATATTACCATTATTAGCGATAATTACGGCTTTTCTTACAAGTGAGTCTTAACAACCTTGGTTCACACCGGCTGATGGAAAAATATGTAATTTTTGAGGGGGACGTCCTTGGTTGTTGATAAGGTTGACTCAACAACTGACTCAACCCGATACAAGGCCCTGAGATGGTTGTCTTTGATTGAATAAAATGACCAATTGTGTATCCTAATCTACGCTTCTGTACCTTTGTAGTAAAGCGTTTAAGATGGGTTGTACTTGAGCTCTTTATATTTCTCGTATATATAATGTCAATGGTCGTTCTTAAGATACACAAATTACCATGTTTCAGTAGCTAACTTTCATACGATATAACAGTTACCATGATGGAATAAAACCTCTTAAAGATCTTCCCAGAATACAAAAAAAAAAAATAGAAACTCATTTATTTACGTCGAAAGAAAACAATGAGAAAAGTCCTAAATTTTCCCTAAGTTTTACCAGACCATGAGAGTAAGAACACTTAGTCACACATCAACACAGCGGTTCAATCACAGTGAGAGGCAATTGGCTAACTCTCACATTCTTTCTCCCTGTCGACCTCTGTGTAAATATCTTTCAATTACTTTCAGTGACAGAATACTGACTGACCTAGTGGGACACGAGCTCTGTGGTAAAGTTTATAACCTCGGGTGTGTTTCATTGGCCTGTCTGATCCACTGTTTCTGTCTCAGCTGATGATGTGCGAAGATAACTCAGTGTGTGTGTTTGTTTCTCAATAGTTAATGAAATTATGAGAAATACTTTGCTTATCTTTCTTGTGGGTAACGTTGAAATTCATAAAATTAAGAAAATACTTATGACAAACTTTAGGTACAAATTTGATAAGTAAATCCCGATTTTCATTTGTTTCTTTGTATTCGTCAAAAGTTCAAAAGTAATTTATTAATGTCTCTCCCTTGTTCACATCTTTCTAAACGTCCTCCACCACCACCACCTTTACTACCAATTAATTACCGTACATCTACACCACACCTGGGGCAACGTCATGACCTTAGATGACCTCATTTACTCACCTGAATCAACCTGATAGGTCCCTCTGTACCAGACTGCCTGAGGAGGAGGCCTGGCGTCAGCTACGAGACACTCTAAGGTGAGGGAGGTGCCAGCCATTACCTCCACCACCGACCCGTCCTCCCAGCCCACGATGGTAATGCTTGTCGGCTCCACTGTAGACAACAACAGGCCCTCGTATTACTACATCAGTCTTATACTATACACAGACAAAAGATAAAGTGGATAAATAGATAGAAAAATAAACTGACAGGTAAATAAACCAAAACAGATAATAAATAAAATAGGGTGAAATATGATACACAAGACAAAAATTGATAGGTAATTAAATTAACTCATCAAAAAATAAAGAATAATATTTTAAAAAATCAAATAGCTAAACAAAGATAAATATAAATAAATAAAATAAACAAGATATACCCAACCCAAAAATAAATATATTTTCGACTATTTCAATAAACCAGTTAACGACATCAATAACAAATAAAATCATATAAATTATAATAAATCTATATTCAACAAGTATAAAGACAAACAAATATATACACACGTATTATGATAACAATCCTAACCAAGAAATTGTTGCCCCTGTAAATAAATAATTCACAAACGATAAAACAATCTTATTAAAAAGAGAACAATAAATTAAAGTACATAAGCAGATGAATGAATGTATAAATGAATAAGTAGATGATATTGGTAGCCATAATAATTGAATAAATCATAAAGCCGCAGTAAATAGATAATGATAAATTGGCTGCCACAGGATGACATAATGTAAATAGTAAAGTCACTGTTGAGATGGATGAAGAATGAGTGTTCAGATTCCAAGAAATAATGTACTTGTGTTCTCGGGTAAGGAGGAGTCATAGCATATGGGGAAAAGGACAGCATGATAGTTCAATAAGGATTATCAGGACCTTGGAGACCCGACACGTAAGATCCTACAGTATAAAGAGTACCTCAACCTCTCTGAGTACAATGACAACCCCGTGAAGAGAGTGGCATGGTACTCGAGTTATTGTCACTGCGTTTAAAAGGTTAAGACATCGTACGCAAGGAATTAGATTAATATACTCAAATTGTTAAGTCATCGTACTCACAGGGTCATGGTGTTGTGCTAAAGAGATGAAATCATTGTACTCAAGATGATAAATTATCCTACTCAAGAAGTTTAATATTTATTCAAGAGTAACATCATTAAGCAGAAGGGATTGGTATCGTACTCAAAAGTATGAGAGTACAGTTAACGAAACGGCAGGTGTACCATTGTTTTGTTTACACGATGAATTCCGTTTGTTATGGAGAAAAAATCCAGAGAAGTGTTTTGATTGAGACAGATGTATTGGTAAACATACATTAATGATTCGTTGGATGATGCTATGTTATGCTCTCGTTGTTTGGTCTGCTTATGAAAGTTCCCGCTATGAGTTTTATACAAAAAAAAAATTACGTTAATGTCGCAAAGTTTAACGTGACGTGTGTGTTTATGAATGAGTACAACAAGTATATAATCGTCGTAATGAATGTAACCTGTTATAAAACTGCAGGTAAACAACGATAGTGAGATATTTACACTATCATCTACAACTGGGTATGAGTATTAATATTTGTTTCCAGGTACAATACTGATATTACCACTACTCCATCGTATTAAATTCCTCAAACATTACTAATCTGAATTTGACTATGAGTTATGTACAGGAATCCTAGATATTAACAGCACGTCTCCCCGACAACTGTGAGTGGTTTTAATCAGTCATCATCATCTAGACATTCATCAGTTCATGTTATACGCCATCCTGGAGGTCACACCAGAGGATGACGACCTAACCTATTATAACCAGACAGTAAGATGCTGGACTGACGGTAGTACAGACAATAAGTTATGTGCAAGGTGGTAAGATTTTTATAATTAACTCCTATTATTTTGTGTTTATTAAATCTTGTGATATTAACAAAAATAATTAATTAAAAAATACCCAATTTAATTACTATAGAAGCGTTTAGGTATTATATTAAATTCCTTGTGTAGTATATTTATGGTGTGGTGAAGGTCGACGGTACACCACAGGGAGGTGAGCCACATAACGGGAATAACTGGCAACTGGTCGGGCAGGTGGTGGAGTAATATCAGGAGGGGACGGTTACCTTCTGTCGAGGGGGAGAAAAAGTTATGTACAAGTTATTTCGGATAAATTCCAGGAGTTGAGAAAAGTTTGCCACAATTTTTCGCCACACTGGATCCCTTTGTGCTTCAAGATTTGCATATGTGGGCAGGTACAAAGAGGTTAGGCTGTGTTATGTACCGCTCACCAGTCTATGACACTCACGGTGGCACATGTTGATAATACTTATTTGCGCAAAGTTGCCAAATTTGTTTTATCATACGCTAATCAGACAGGAATATTACTTAGTTCCTGAATAAGATAAATATTTTCGTTTGTATTTAAACAGTTCTCTCACCTTTGTTATTTTAATTACCGTCCAAATGATACGATAAAAGTGTTACAAAGATAAACCACAATGTCTGTTACTAAACAATGTTACTATAATCCCACGTAATTATACCATGTGTTGTTAGTAAGGTGTCCCGGTGTGTGGGTCATATTACAAGGTTCTCGCAGAAATTGACACCTGTTAGCTTTACAAATTGCTTATAATAATCTTTGCTCTATTCTGACCGACTTATATGTTTTCATCAATTCACTATTTGAAATGTAATATCCAAGTGTGGCTAAAGTTGAACGGTCCCCAACCCACCATTACATAGTACGTATGATCTTGTTACAAACATTACACTCGGCAGCTCTCGTTGAAGATCATAATATTCTGACTGTGAAAATTCTACTGATAGATCCCATGATACGAACCTTACAATACACACTACTAG